TATATATATATATATAAAATTGTTGCTCTTTTCGCAACTCGACTGATTCGAAAAACTTGGAACTTAACGTACATCCGAAATACGGAGTAAAAGGAAAAGGGAAAGACGAAGGAGACGAGACAGAGGAGAAATTTATGGAGACCGAAGAAACGTGCGATACCACTCTGTTCTTCTTTCTTTTCCTACGTTCGATAAAAACGTATCCGTCGTGTACCTTAATTCGCCTACGCGGAAGTGCAGATCTACTGTTCATATATAGTCGCGAATCGATGTATATTGATTAATGAAAAAAAATATGTATTTGTTCCTAAAGAAATATTAAGAGTAGTATAATATATCATAAAAGAATATTAATATTAATAGTAACGGATAACGATAATTTGATGGTACATACTTTCTTATAAGTAACATTACACATTACTACGATTATTGTAGAGTTGGTACGGTTCTTGAGGATGCCTTGCCTGTAAATGTAACATACGTTAAATGAAAACAAATCTTATTATCTTGTAAATGTTTTACCAAATATAATCGATTATTCAACTTATACTTCGCTTCTGTTTCCTTTATCCATCCAACCTACATCGACATGCTAGTAAGATTTACGACTCAATTATATATATATATATATATTGGCAATACATGTTAAGCAACTGATTACTTAAGAAATGTTCAGTTTACATTGCATTAAATCGATTAATTAAATTTATATTAAATCGTCACATTGAATTGATTAATTATTGATAAGAATTTAAATATGACTTATGCAAAAATATACTTGCATCTATTTCATCCTCTATGACTTTAACGCGTATTCTTGTATTGTCAGTTATTTATTTATTTATTATATGGAATTCTATAATATTGATCAATCGAATCGCAATAATGCAACCGTGAATAGAACATTTTCAATAACACCTCTCACAAAGAAAGACAAAATTGAACTATTAGTCACAACAATAAGCAACACAAACGTAGTATTTTTTGCATCTATCGAGGACGATTGTACGCGTATCTAGAGCGTACAGTAATTGCCTCAGAGCAATCTTCGTTGCGTCAAGATGTTAGTGCGATAACCTCGAGAACTGTATTACATTAAATATT